CTCCCTCAGCTTCCCTAAGTTTCCCTATAGGGCACGTACCCCCCTTGAATCGTTGAACCCACCCTCACTTAAAGAACTCTATAAGTTTAGGGCACCTTCAAAGCCTATGGACATTTTCCGTGCATTTTCCGTGGGCCACAGTTCTGTAGTGCCGTTTTAAAATGGGGGGGGAAACCCGCAAGTACCCTGAGCTGGCGCATGTGGACGGCCCGGGCCCATGGGACGAGAATTCCGGGATTAAGGGGGGGAATTTCCGGTCTTATAGGGTTTAGGACTTACGGTTATGGGGGGTAAGTGGGGCACAACATGTGCGCACAGCAAGCAGGTACTTGCGAGAGCCCTGGCGCAAGAAAGGGGTAACTGAGGTTTAGGGTAGTTGCGGCCGCGAAGAACGCGGCTCTCCTGGCGAAGGGAGATAAGCCCAGCAGCAGAATATGGGTGGTTTGGGCCTTTGGGGCTTTTGGGATGGAGGGCTAAGAGGTTGGAGGGTTTGAGTCTATGGGACATCAAACCTAACCCTGGACCCTGAACCAGCAGCTTGGTCTTAAGGCCTCACTCTTACTCTTCCTCCGCGGTGAGGTTGGTACCATCGACATCGTGGCATCTTGCTTGCGCTTGACGCCCGACCTCGCCTATGTAGCCCGCCCTCCCTTGCCCAAACGAAGCAACAGACCTTCATCTTTTCCTTATCCCCAAACCCTAAACCCCCAAAACCCTAAACCCTAAACCCCCGAAACCCTAAACCCTAAACCCTAAACCCCAACCTAAAGCTTTAGGGGCTTGAAAGCCTTGAGGTGCAGGATGTAAGGGCAATATAAGGGCTCCCCTCCTGCAAGGGGCCATGTGACTACCCTGAGACCCTATAATCCCTTGAATCCTTAACCCCTTCAACCCTTTGAGCCTTTCTGAAACCCTTGAACCCTTAAACCCTTCAACCCCTAAACCCTTACACCCTTAAACCCTGAAACCCCTTACACCCTAAACGGCCCCTATAAATGTTAACAAGGGCAGGGGACCTTACTAAGGACCCGTGGTTCCGACCAGGTATCCTCTAAACCCTAAACCCTAAACCCTAAACCCTAAACCCTAAACCCATCTTCTTTGCCTTAGAACCCAGGTTAGGCCCGATTGGGCGCCACACGGCACACGGCGCTTCTTAGAGCTGGCGGCCGCAGGCCCTGGTGTTGTTTTGTTCTTAGTTTAGGGTTTAGGGTTTAGGGTTTAGGGTATAGGGTTTAGGGTTTAGGGACACGCTTCAGAAACTTTCGTCTGGGTAACTCCAGACCCTATAGAGCCTGAGCCTGCGAAACTGAAAGTTTCAAACTATATCCTACTACGACACCTCAAGAACAAGCCGCCATCCAAACCGTTAAGCCCTAAACCCCCCCAAAGAGGCCCGAAGCCCCTCGCGACCTCTCTACATATCACCTGAGGGCTTCATCCCTAAACCCTAAACCCTAAACTCAGCATAGCTGGTTGGACTCCGTGGGCAGGTCGTTTGCGGTCCTTTTGAGGACCTGAGGGCTTGAAGGTGGTGAGGACCTCTAGGTGGTGGAAGGTTTACCTTAAACCTTGAGCCCTAAACCCGAAGCCCTGTTAAGGCCCTTAAAGAATATATAATATCCCCGAAACTCCTTACGGTCGTCCAAGTGTCAGCTCGAAACCCTAGCCCTAAACCCTAAACCCTATCCTTGAGCTTTAAAGCCCAAACCCTAAACTCAGCAAGCCCCGGGCTCAAAAGGGTTTAGGGTTTAGGGCTATCGTTGTTAGGCCTAAACCCTATAAGGCCCAAGGGGGCGGGCACGGAGGCAGTTGCTTCGCTCTTCTCCGCATGCTTGTGAGGCGACTTTGATGACCGAGCCTTCTATCGGGCTGTGCCCAGCTGCGACTTGGGTTGGTCCTACTTGGATGTTTACGGGTACTTGCACAGGTAGGGTTTAGGGTTTAGGGTTTTAGTGTTTCGGGTTTACGGGTTACAGTGCCTATAAGTAGGGCTATGAGCAGGGTAACTATGGTTAGAACCTTTTTTTTAGGGTACTTCTGACCCTACTTATAAGTACCGATGAACCTTCAGGTAGTGTCTTGGGTCTGGGGCTCGGGGCTAAGCGCGTTTACATGATCGAAGCCTGTCCTCGCCCGCATCAATGCTGTAGTACAAAGGCTTTGCTGACTTGCGTGTAAGTACCAAAAAATGACCAAAGAACCTCCGCTTAGGCAGACTATGCCCTTGAAGTCCAGCGGAATCCTCTAAGTAGGCAGACTAACCCCAAACCCTGGAACCCTAAACCCTAGACGACAATGCCGGTTGCGGAATCCTGCACTGAGGCATCGTTCAGTTTGGCCTGCCGCCCAAGCGCGACCTCCCGGCTATCCCGGACGATGGGCACCCAACAGCTGTCATGCCATTTTCTTGGGGCCAAGTAAGCAGACATCTTGTTTTCTGTAGGTACTTTAGTGTTTTTTGATCATTTTTATTAATTGGTGGATTGCATTTAATCAATTTAGCTAATTCAACTAGTATGTTGGCCCCTACTACTACAGTTACTACGATGGTGATTCCTATTGTTGCGGTGCTGCTGTAATTCCGATTACTAGCAGGTTCTTTCGAGTTCATATGGGTATTTCCCCCAATAGGGTACTATACCCCAAACTAGTATAATCCTAATTGTAGGAACCCCTCAAACGGGTACCCCAGTTTTGGGACCTTCCCTCCCCATATTGCGTTTGCTGTTCTTATCATTGATTGAGCCACTGTCATGATGCAGTGCAGTTCCCAGCCTAAGCCCTAAACCCTTAAGTCGTAATCTTGAACTCAAGTGGGCTCACAGCGACCACACAGCCCAGTAAACCCTAAACCCCACAAACCCTAATCCCTAAACCCTAATCCCTAAACCCTAAACCCTACACCCTGAACGAAGGCACGAAGACACTCCTGTGAAGGACGATCCCGCCACTGGCGTGCCTTTCCTCCTCGGCGCTGTTGCCTTTGCAGCAGTTGGCGCGCCATGGCTGGGTACAGCATCATAGTCCTTGGGGGACAAAAATTAAAATGCCTAAACCCGAAACCCTAAACCCTAAACCCTAAACCCTAAACCCTAAACCCCAATGGTACACAGCAGGCTCACTTACAAACCCTAAGCCCTAAACCTGGGCCACACCATTGGGCCTAGGCTCTCACTCGTAAACCGAAGCCCTCAGCCTATAGGTCACACTATTCGTAGCATCCTGACGATTTCTCGAAGTTTGCTGTGTAGAAGCATAGGCCCAAACGAGGGTTCAGGGTGTAGGGTTTAGGCTTGAGTGGCAACTGGCTGTGTGATGACTCCGACTCAGTGACTGACCGTTCAAGCTCAGGAAAACACCCGGCGATCGACCATATTCATCTGTACAGGCTGGACGGATTTGATGCCCGCCGTGAATCATAGAAAGCGTTGCATGAAGAGAGTTGCGCAAGCCTCGAGCTTATTAGAATGGCCTGGCTCTGATGGGAGTGCTTTGACAGCCTGCCCGAACTTGGCGAAGTACATAGGATGCGTAGAATGGGTATTAAATGCGATGCTGCTTCCGAAAGGCCATGGACACGCCCAAACCTCCCCAATTTTAGGGTTTAGGATTTAGGGTTTGGGGTTTAGGGTTATTTCTACACCTTAACAAACAGTCACCCAAGCACCAAAGCAAAGGTATGAGAAAACACCATGGCCGATCCATATCTATCAGCACGCTGCAGTCCCTGATGTGCACCGAGTGTCCATGCAAGCCCTTAACCGGGTTTAGGGTTTAGGGTTTAGGGTTTAGGGTTTAGGGTTTAGGGTTTAGGGTGTTTAGGGTTTAGGGTTTAGGGTTTAGGGTTTAGGACGCCCTAGACTTGACTACACACCCTCAGCGCCTCCCAACAAATACCCTTAAACCATGTGTGAGGTTGATCTATAGGACGGGCTTTTGTCGGTGCCCGAAACGATGCGTGCATACTGCAAGAGAAACCGTATGTCTAGATCAGCACCCATGTTCCCTAAACTAACCTAAACCCTACATCCCAAATCCCAAAGCCTAAACTAGCCCTAAACCCTAAACCCTAAACCCTGAACCCTCAGCCAGGCGACATGTCCCACTGCTTGGGCCGTGAGACATGGGCTCCATGGCAGCACCTCAGGTTGTGGGTTCGGGGCTGCTTTCAGGTTTAGGGTTTAGGGTTTAGGGTTTAGGGTTTAGGGTTTAGGGGGGTTTGGGTTGTCAAGGTCTAGGGTGCCCTCAACCTACAGCACCGCTGTGCCAGATAAATATACCCAGCCATGCGTTGAGGCACACTATTCTGCTCTTGCAATTTACGGGCACAAACGTTGGTCTAGTAAACCCCTCCCTAAACCCTAAACCCTAAACCCAATGGCGAAACCCTAACATAATCCAAGAATACAGCTTGAGCAGCGTGGCTTCTGAAGCCGCGAAGGAAACGCCGATTGGGGCCGTGGCGGAATCTTCACTGGACGTCCTGGACCTGCACTTGCCCAGCTGTGCTAAGTGCCAACCCTGAACCCTGAACCCTAAACCCTGAACCCTAAACCCCAAACCCTTAACCCTAAACCCTAAACCCTAACTTCCTTTTGGAAGAATTAGTTGCCCTGAAAGGTCAAGCCGTGAGTAGCTGAAGCCGAAAGAGTCGAGCATGCCCCCAAGTTTTGCAGGTTCTCCTTGAAGGCCCTTGAGAACTGCATCTTGCCGCAGGATTCGAGAAACCGCAGTTCAGCTCATGAGAGCACAAGTACCCTAAACCCTAAACCCTAAAAAAAGTCAAAACAAGGTCGATCCCCAACGCCCCGGCAGACATGTCAGCTAGCTTCGATAGATATTTACTCTTCGCCTTCACCTTCACCTTGCAAACCGGCCATCATGTATTCAGGACAGCAGGCAAAGCCTTAGCCCTAAACCCTAAACCCTAAACCCTAAACCCTAAACATTGTGGAGCCTGACGCCGTCGGCACAAAGCGGCATGCTACTAGCGGCGCATGGGCCTCTCGTTCGGGTGGCTGGCGCCTGGGCAGAATTGAAAGCACATGTTCTTCAACAGTTCGCAGGTTTGGGGGTTTAGGGTTTAGGGTTTAGGGTTTAGGGTTTAGGGTTTAGGGTTTAGGGTTTAGGGTTTAGGGTCCTGTCGAGCTGCGGAGAGAGACTTCTCTTCAGCAAGATAACCCCCCTGAACTCTAGAGTTGAACCTGTGAACCCCCCCTCCAAAAAAGGAAGCACGATTGGGGGTTTAGGGTTTAGGGTTTAGGGTTGGCACGATTGGGGGAGCCTTTCCGCAAGAGCCCCTTGCGGCTGGTGGAGCTTGGGACTTGGGGGCCTAAGGGTTTAGGGTTTAGGGTTCAGGGTTTTGGGTTTAGGGTTAAGGGTGCAGGCTTAGGGCTGAAGGCTTGAATCAGGTGATGGAACTCCCTGAATCTTGAACATTTGGAACGTAAAGACAACTTTTGAAGCGCCTGGAGTCGAGAACCGAAGCCCCCAGCAACCTCGACACCCCTGCAGCCCTGAACTCTACAACTCTAAGCCCTACACCCCAAATCAAAAACCCTGAACCCCCAACCCTAAAACCTACACGGGTGGGAACAACAAAAATCCTAAACCCTAGGCCCATCCTAAGTCGGCTTAAAGTGTAAACCCTGAACCCTGAACCCTGAACCCTAAACCCTAAACCCTAAACCCTAAACCCTAAACCTCATTCCCTCATTCCCTGCTAACCAACAGAAAGAAGTCGCTGGGGCCCCAGGTGGCACTGGCAGCCCCCACCGATGGATTGCCGCAGGGAGGCAGGAACGATCACACCCATCACAGGGTTTTGGGGTGTGGGGTTTAGGGTTTAGGGTTTAGGGTTTAGGGTTTAGGGTTTAGGGTTTAGGTTGAGGTTTTGCCTCTTTTCTGCACCACAACCATGAAGCGCAAGACCACGGCCACATGGGGCCAAAGCCCCAAAACCCCATCTGAAGCCAAGGTTCAACATTGCGAGTTTTGTTCCAATTCTGGGTTTAGGGTTTGGGGTTTAGGGTTTAGGGTTTAGGTTGTAGCTGAAGAGCCGGTAGCCACCCAAGAGCCACAAACTCGCTACATCCTTGCAAGCCCTACAGACCCAAAAGCCCAACAGCCCTCAAAGCCCCTGAAACCTCAATGCTTCAAACCATCTCAAACTCTAAAATCCCCACTTGAGGTTCATGGCACTTCTAAGTAGGGTTATCAGTAGGGTAACTATGGCTATAACCTTACTTGGGGCACTTATAACCCTACTTATAAGTAGCCCTAAACCCTAAACCCTAAACCCTAAACCCTAAACCCCTGTATATATATATATATATATACTTATAGTATCCATGAACCTCCAAGTAACCCTCACTTTGTGTGAGGTCCCCGGCTGTGCTCTTTACGCCCACCGTTGCCAGAGCTGACTGGCCACATGGCGGCGCGAGGATGTGGAGGGTTTGGGGTTTAGGGTTTAGGGTTTGGGGTTTAGGGTTTAGGGTTTAGGGTTTACGGGGAGGTGTGGGTGGAAGGGGTTTGTAGGGTTGAGGGTTTAGGTAGACTCTTGTTGTGTCTTCTGCTTTTGTTGGAAGAGGATCTTATCTAGGAATATTCTTAGATAGTCTCAAGAGCAAACCTATCCCCGAGTATTCCAGGGTGTTGTTCGCTTCTCTGGTGTTCCTGATGCAGAACCATCCCATGCCTAAAGCCTAAATGCTGCTTTCAACACTTTTGGGTTTAGGCTGGGTTTAGGGCTGAGGGCCAAGCGAAACTTAGCAGCAAGAAACAAGAAACAGCGAACCTTTTTGGGCACCCCCCCCCCCCCCCCCCCCCCCCCCCAACTACCCGTAAAATATCACCCCAAGTAACTAACCCACCTTCTGGCCGAACGGGTAGTCAGACTATGTTTTTGAGGGGGGGATAGGATCCCAATAGTCCCTAGAAAGCGCGAAAACGCAAGTGCTTTGGACTTTGAACTCCTGAACGATTTAGGGTTTAGGGCTTAGGCTTAGGGTTTAGGGTTTAGGAGGTTTTGTGGGCACCTACATTGAACCAGTGCGGACATGCCGAGTGCGCGCTTGTTTCCGCCCGAAACGCTAAACCCTAAACCCTATATTGACTTTAAGGCGGGTGCCAACAAATCCTAGAGAGAGAAACCCTAAACCCTAAACCGCAGCGCATCTCGAGATGCGCCGGCCCGGGTGCTAGGGCGTCAGGGGGCTTACGGCGCTCAGCGCTTGAGCCATTTAGAGCTTCGGGTTTCTAGTGTTACAAGTTATCATATCAGGGAGACCTGTGCAAAGACAGGGTTCTCATCAGATTTGGGTTTAGGGGTCAGGGCTTATAAGGTTTAGGGTTTAGGGTTTAGGGTTTAGGGTTCTTGGTTTAGGGCTTAGGGTTTAGGCTTTAGGGGTCAGGGCTTATAAGGTTTAGGCTACCCGGTGGCATCCGAGATGAGCAGACGCAACGCCTGGACCGCCGTGCGGGGTCTGCGGCCACATCCTCAGGCATCTGCCAGCAGGCCATGCTGCCCAGGGTTTAGGGTTTAGGGTTTAGGGCTTGGGGTTTAGGGTTTAGGGTTTAGGGTTAGGGTTTAGGGTTTAGGGTTTAGGGTTTAGGGTTTAGGGAGCTTGGGCTTTCAAATCTCGGGTTTTGGCAATAACCCAAAACCCAAGCAGCTGCGCGGTGTGTGGGTGATAATGTCGTTTCGCGCGGTTCACATCGAAACTCGGCAAACATCGAGGGCAGTCTGTTCTGGCAGGATGTTTGGGCCTAAACAGTCAGCCCCCTACAGCCCTAAAGCCCTATGTGCCTGTGTCCTGAACATAAATAAGCCAGCTTGACACCCTGCCCTAAACCCTAAACCTCAACCCTCCCGCTACAAGTATCAAACTCATGCCAGCCGCGGCTTCTGAAGACTGCCTCACCCGAACTCCTCTTCGGACGCTCTAGGGGTTGGTTTTCGCCGTCAAGAAGTCCGGCTTTTGTCTAAACCGGTTTAGGGTTCGACTGGGAAGGTGCTCAGATTTTGTTCGGGTGTCCTTCGGCTTCCCCATGAACCCTAAACCCCTAAACCCCAAACCCCAAACCCTCCTTTGGAGTTGGCAACCCAGATCAGCGCCAACTGCGTCGCGCAGGCATCGTCCTGGGGGTTCCTTGAGGCCTCGGCGGAGAGGCAGCTGAACCACGCTTGAGGGTTTAGGCCTTTCCGGGGTTTGGGGTTAGGGAAACAGGGCTCATGCCATGATTACACAGTGGAAGCAGTGAGTCGACAAGGACACACACACACACACCTCACCTCACTCCCTGGTACCTCGCCCCTCCCCAGGCCCCCCAATCAACACCCATTTTGATTGAATAGTAGACCCCCTATATGAACCCTTAGCCAGGGACTTGACGCAAAGGGTTGGGTGGCTTTTGTCTGTCAAATCAGGTGTACGGTTCACGGCTTCGGCTTTTCTTTGGTGGGCTGAGAGGATACTTAGAGAGTCTAGACAGTTTCAGTTGTTTTTGTTGTTTTGCTTTATTTTAATTTTTTTTTGGGGGGGGAGAGGGGGGAGTAGGGCTGGGCATCGAACGGCGTGCCGGGCGTGCCAGGATCATCTGGGAGGGACGGCTCTTCGATGCCGACCCGGACGAGGCTGAGACTTTTCTCAGTCTTGGGCGCTTGAAGCCCACCCGGGTGAAAACCATATAAAGGTATATAGGTTCATACATACTTATGAGTTATAGGTACACTAGAGAGGGTTCGCACCACATAGTTGCCCTACGGGACCCGCTCGCAGTAAGTTCGGGTTTAGGGTTCAGCAATATACGAGGGTTTCCAGTGGCAAAAGAGGGTTTCGCAAGTGTTGCTGAAAGTGCTCCTTGCTTGCTTGCTTGCTTGCTTGCTTGCTTGCTTGCTTGCTTGCTTGTGTGTGCGTGTGCCACCCACCACCCAAGCTTGCTTGGAACTTCATGCGCGCCTGCAAAAGGGTTGTAAGTAGGGTAAGTCTAGTCATAGCAGGTTTTAACCTTACCTTTGGCCAGGCACCTTAAGTGGGCCCTACGTCTGAGTAACCCCCATCACTACTATTTATCTTTATGTATTCATATATGTTTATACGAGACTACAAATGTACGCCATACGACTGGCGGCGCGGCATTGATCCGGCGCTCTCACTCCAAGACCAGAAACTACCGGGCTCCATGGCCCAGCAATATAGGCGGGGGGGGGGGGGGGGGGGCCCTCAACCCTCAACCCTTGCAGAGAGACTGCCCCATGCTGCCATGCTTGACAGGAGCGGGTTTTGCAAGATGCAGCTTCCACCTACGAGGACTGGTACTTGGCACCTCCTTGATGGACGGCTTGATTTCCGGGTGCGCATGTTGATTTGGCTCCGAGCTTTCGTCCCTCAGAATCCATCGGTATGTCCCAAACCCTTATATGGACCATTTGGCAGACCAACAGCGACGTCCCTTTTGAGGACCCTTTTTGGATACATGAGCCTTCAAGAAGAAATACCGACAGAAAACTTGCCGAAGCCCCCGCTCCCTACTCCGATGGAGACCCCACCCACTCTATGCGCTTCCGAAGCCCCAAAAAGCAACGACCTCCGTGGGCAATTCCTTAGGGTTTAGGGTTTAGGGTTTAGGGTTTAGGGTTTAGGGTTTAGGGTTTAGGGTTTAGGGTTTCAAGGGTTCAAGCAGGCAATATGAGGTCGCCACCAATGTGGCCCCCTCTGGTGTCGGAGAGTTTGTGTTCAAGAAAATCAGCCTAAATCCTAAGCCCTTCACCCTTAAGCAACTTAAGATAGAGCCCAAGACCAGCCGAGGCCTCTGCTCCCAAACCTGTTTCCCAGTTTCGTGTTTTGGAGCGGGGGGTCCTGTGCTCCTTGCTGGGTGGTGTGGGTCGAATATGGCGTGGCTCTCTCTCCTTGGGAGGCCGAGCTGCTCTGATTTCTGATGCACACCCGAAGCTCCCAAACTCACTTAGTAGCTGAGTGAGTACACTTTACACTTGTTGGGATACCATCATAATCCCCTAAAACTGAAAGTGTACACTTATGGGGGGGGGGGGGGGGCTTATGAACTCAGCAGCTAAACTCATCTGTTCTTGCAGGACTGTCCTGGCGCCTTGCCACTGGGCTGCTCTTACTATTTTCTTAGTAGCTGAGTGAGCACACTTTACACTTGTTGGGATGCTATAATCCTCTATAGAACTGAAAGTGTACACTTTTTTGGGGCTTATGAACTCAGCAACTAAGTTTACGCCGTCTGACAACCACACGCCTGGCTTAGTTGTGGGCAAGCTCTGATCGCCGAGTTGTGCGAGAATCTGAGAAGCTGCCGCAAATCTGTGGGATGGTTTGCCTTGTAAAGTGGCAGAAGGGAAAATAAAGCAACTTCATTCATGCAGCCTCGGCCGGCTAGAGTCAGAAGTCTGCAGACAGAACTACGTGACATCCGGAATGACCATGTTAAGCCCCAGTAGGTGTGAATGCGAACCTGCGGCCACTACCTCACCCTTGGCCTGTTCCGCATTCTCAACCAGCCTGTGTGAGGCTCTTGTGTGGAGTAGTTGCCGATGCAGACAACTCCGTCCAACACACAGTGTAACACACAGTGTCCTACTTGGAGGTCCATGGGCACTTATAACCCCAACTATACTTGTCAACCCTTATAAGTGGGGTTATAAGTACCCATGAACCTCCAAGTAGAGTCTGCGCAAAGAATGTTGGCACAAGCTCACCCTATTCAAAGAGTTGCTGGGTGAGCGCATCTGGACATCTGGAGACCCATGCTGCCGAGTTGGCTAGTCTCCTGGAACAGCCCGAAGGTGCTTAAGGCTAAACCCTAAACCCTAAACCCTAAACCCTAAACCCTAAACTTAAGGCTTAGGATGAAGTTTGTTGTAGCAATCAAGCCGCGAGCGAGCGCCAGAGCACGCAGAGCATGGAGGGAGGCTTCCCCTTAAAGCCGATCAAGTCCTATAAGGGCTTAGGGTTTAGGGTTTAGGGTTTAGGGTTTAGGGTTAGACCCAAGAAGTGACCAGTGTGCTTTGGGGAATGTAGGCCATGATTACGTGGTGTTACAATGCGCCCTGAAACTTATCCCTAAACCCTAAACCCTAAACCCTAAACCCTAAACCCTAAACCCTAAACCCTAAACCCTAAACCCTAAACCCTAAACCCTAAACCCTAAACCCTAACCCTAAACCCTAAACCCTAAACCCTAAAAGCGCTTAGGCTGCTGGCCCTCCTGGCCTGTGCGGCCCGCGCTGCCTCAGCCCGGAATCTGCCGGCCATGGACTTGGCCAAGAGTGAACCTCAAGCTTTTGGGGTTTAGGGTTTGGGGTTTAGGGTTTAGAGTTTAGGGCTTTTTTGCCCCCTTGGCTACTGGAGAAGTAAGGCCATGGACAGCTGGGAGTATGCCTTCGCGGTGCCCTCTGCGTGGGATGGGGAGCCTAGAGTTAGAGAGTCTTGCCAGGTAGTCCCTTGAAATACGGTATTTAAATATGTCTAAGGTCATAATCATAGTATCAAGAATAAGAAGAATACTAAGAATGCTAACAACAATAATGATCATAAAAAAGAGATACATAAATACAGAAACAAACAAATAAGATGTGTATATATATATAGTCATATCATATCATAACTAAGATTTCCCTTATTGGGAGGGTAAATTGAAAGGTCATCCTGGCTTTCATCGGCCCAAGTTCGGAAATAGCAATGCCCCAAATCGACTCAACTTAGCTTCTAAGGCCCGGGGTTTAGGGTTTAGGGTTTAGGGTTTAGGGTTTAGGGTTTAGGGTTTAGGTTTAGGGTTTAGGGTTTAGGGTTTAGGGTTTAGGGTTTAGGGTTTAGGGTTTAGGGTTTAGGGTTTAGGGTTTAGGGTTTAGGGTTTAGGGAACACTTTTTTGAGAGCCCAAACATGTCAACTTCGAGGTTCAGGGGTACTTAGAAGTAGGGTTCTTACTAGGGCAACTATGGTTGGAATCTTACTATGGGTACTTAGGGTTTAGGGTTTAGGGTTTAGGGTTTAGGGTTTAGGGTTTAGGGTTTAGGGAGGTACATTCCAGGACCCAGCAGGCCCCGGCGCAGGCCCTTATTCCCCCTTTTTAGCTGGGTTCAAGCTCCCTTCCACATGTATGCCCAGGCGGAGATCAGGACTGAGGAAAGATAGGATGAGGAGAGTCAGCTTGAAAGTCCTTCTGGCCCCCTGCTTCAAGGTCTTCAAGGTTCATGGGTACTTCTGAGTAGGGTTGTAGAGTGCCCTATGTAAGTTACACCCACAGAAGTTGAATTGAAAGATGTTTTACAAACACTAAACCCTAAACCCGAACCCCCCCCCCCCCCCCCCCCCCCCCCCTGCCCCCCCGGTCAGCTAGGCGGGCGGCAACAAAATGAACTCCCCCAAAAACAGCAATCTCTGCAGCAAAGAACGTCAGTTCTGGAGCCCTCAGGGGTCACGACCAGTGGAAGAGCAAACGAACTTAAGCCATGATAAATATAAATCATGTAGGGTTTAGGGTTTAGGGTTTAGGGTTTAGGGTTTAGGGTTTAGGGTTTAGGGTTTAGGGTTTAGGGTTTAGGGTTTAGGGTTTAGGGTTTAGGGTTTAGGGGTAGTACTCTCATCATGTACCACTACTTGGTAGCCCAGTGGTACCCTTTTGCCCTTTCTGCGGGTTTCTGGGTTCCCTTACAAAAGTAACAAGCCCGAAAACAGGATACTCTTTTTTGGTAAGATGGGTTACTGGGCTACCAAGAATATAAAAGTAAAGATTAAACAAAGATAACTTAGCTTAGGGGCTCAGTGGGGTTGGAGTTCTTAGGGTTAAGGGAGGTTCAGTATGTTTGTGTTTGGCGTGTTGTTAGGGTTTTGGGTTTAGCCCGCTTAGCCCCGTCAGGCATGGAACAGCTTGCCTTGGACCAAGCCACTGGCGTGGCACAACTTGCAGGCAGAGTCCTCAACCCCAATCTCATGCAGCCCTGAAACCATCTTAGAGAGTCCATCTTGACTGCTACTACGTACCCCAAAACCCACTCGGTCAGAATAGTACTTTAGCCGGACACTCTGAAATCATTCCTGATCTGGTTTCCAACCCAACATGTATTCTGGGAGGGGTTTTCCTCGAAATCCCTGTCGTCACTTGTCTGGGGGTTGCCGAAAACTCGGGTCCCTTTCGCTGCTTCATGGTCGGGGACTCGACGAAAACGTGCTGGGGATTTTGATGGGGACACCCTAAAACCCTCCTCATCCCCTTTGTATAACCTCCAGGTTGCACCAACCCTTGTAAGCCCAAACTCGAAGGCCCCAAAAACCCTCCCTAGAGGCTCCAATGCTTGATAGTTATGGTGTACGTTTCGGTCCCGCAAAACAATGTGATCCCAGGGGTTCTTGGGCGTATTTGGACCTTCTGGGTGGGTTTTATGGGGTATGTACGGGTTCTCCATCGAAGGGCCCATATTAATAAGGGACACGTCTCAACCCTAAACCCTAAACCCTACATCCTACAACCCTAAACCCTAAACCCTAAACCCTAAACCCTAAACCCTAAACCCTAAACCCTAAACCCTAAACCCCCCACCGGCCCACCCTTAGAAAGGGTCCATGTACCTAACTACCCAAAGAAAGTAACTGCTTTCATCATACGGTCGAAGTTCTGCAGAAGGTGCACTCCTCGCCCCGTAGCTTGAGACTCAAAGCACGAGTTGCTTGCCCTGAGCTCTTTGATCCGATCCCGATGGGTTTAGAGTTCAGGGTTTAGGGTTTTAGGGTTTAGGGTTTAGGGCTTAAGGATTAGGGTTTAGGGTTTAGGATTTAGGGTTTAGGATTTAGCCCCCCCCCCCCCCCCCCTCTGAGTCAGGATCCTCTCGTTCGCCCAGCACTCTACGCGGCGGTCTCCCAGACGAAGGCACCGACTTGCCCATCGGCGACACCACGGGGCCGTTACTAAATGGGGAAAAAAGGGTTTAGGGTTTAGGGTTTAGTATCCAAATGATATCTACATTGAGGTCTACAGTCTGTACATAATGCCTACTTTGGGCTACCTGGAGCTTCAGGGATAGTGAGCGAGATGTGTCCCCTGGATACCCCTGTGTACATGCATGATCAACTTCCCAAATGTACGGTTGGAGTTGACGGCTTTATGTTGTGGTGCGGAACGGTCCCTTGATGAGCGACTGCAATGCCAGTGGGCTGTGAGGTTCTTGGTTTGTTTTTTGTTGGTCTTCGGTTCCAACAAGAGATTCGACGGCTGGCCGTTTCTAGGGTCTCTGTACAGAAAGGAACTAGATGGAGAACCGATCTAACTGTTGGGCCCTTATGGCACAGATACCACGTCGGCTCAACATCCCCCCCCCCCCCCCCCACCTTGCCTTACGTGTAGCTCATGTGGAGGAGTTACGAAAACACGGGACCCCTGATATAAACCCCCAAATAGTAGGATTCCCGTATAACGAGGACTCCAATAAACCCTAAACCCTAAACCCTAAACCCTAATTTCGGAAATCCCCTCTGTGGTTCGCTTCTGCTGGTAGGTTCTGAGGGCATGCCTCACGCGCCCGGAGGACATCTGCAGCAAGGCAGACATGGCTGAAAGTTTAGGGTTTAGGGTTTGGGGTTTGGGGTTTAGGGTTAGGGTTTAGGGTTTAGGGTTTAGGGTTTAGGGTTTAGGGTTTAGGCTTGGAGGGTCCATTGATGTTTACCGCTACTTGGAGGTTCATGGGTACTTAGAAGTAAGTAGGGTTATAGGTAGGTTAACTCTAGCTACAACCTGACTGAGGGTACCCATGAATCTCCAAGTATGGGGCCAAACACCCAAAAACCGCTTGAAGAAGGGTTTCGGGTACCCAAGCGAATCATCGCACTGTGCATGGACCTTCTGGGAAACAAGAGAGGGATTGTTGGATTTGGGGTGTGTCACAATGACGACTTCACGCCAAACACTCACTCTGCAACAGAACCCTCGACTCTAGACATCAAACTCTGCAGTATGGCAGGCAGGCAGTTCTGTAAAGCATGATTCTTTTGTGGGGGGGCCCCTGTCGCAAGACGGGGCCTTTCACTTCTGCTGCGCCAGAAGAGTACCCAAATGTCCCCAAACCCGCACAAAAACTCAATCCTAGAGGGGCACCATAAACCCTAAACCTCAAACCCGATACCCCAGCAGGTGACGATGATCGTCATGCAGAACCTGGAGCATGCGGCCGGGATGCCTGGAGCTCAGCACTTCCTGTACGGTTCGTGCTTTAGGAACACGAGCCACTGTGAGGGTTTGGGGCTTGGGGGTTGAGGGGTTGTGCCTGCAGCACTTGGCGGTTCATGGGAACTTGCAAGTAGGGCGATAATAGGGCGATAATAAGTAGGGTAACTATGGTCAGAATCTTACTTAGGGTGCTTAGGACCCTACTTACAAGGACCCATGAACCTCCAAGTAGTATCCTCGAGTATTTGTTGCCAGTGCCTTTAGAACTGCATGCTGCATAGCACCCGGGCCACTCGCCTCCGTCTAAGGGTAGTTGCACCCTAAACCCTAAACCCTAAACCCTAAACCCTAAACCCTAAACCCTAAACCCTAAACCCTAAACCCTAAACCCTAAACCCTAAACCCTATACCATAACGGGTTCTGAAGTATGGGCCCTTGGGTCTAATCGGGTAGAAAAGGGGTATGCAAGGGGGTACCCATTTAAGGGCCATACTAAGGGACCATGCAAACCACCCTAAACCCTCGACCCTAAACCCTAAACCCTAAACCCTGAGATTCCTTCACAACTTGCAGGCCCTAGCTCTTCCCCGAGACCCCCAATGTCCCTTACCTCGTCTTCCTAACTACCAAGAAGGACCCCCGACCCCCCAATATGACTTAAGGAATCTTCCTTAACTACTCTTACTAAGAGGGAACCCCCCATATGATTTGAGGAATATGCCGAAAATTCCTTGTAAGCGAGGCCTCGAAACTTGGCCTCCGAAACCCTAAACCCTAAACCCTAAACCCTAAACCCTAAACCCTAAACCCTAAACCCTAAACCTCAGGTCACTAACGGTATCTCGCGATGGCTTTACGAACCTTCCTGGCCATTCGGAGCTCTCACAGTCGCTCCTGGCAGCTTTGTTTCAATGCCTTCAAGGTTTAGGGTTTAGGGTTTAGGGTTTAGGGTTTAGGGTTTAGGGTTTGGGTTTGGGTTTTTTTCGGGTTCCTGGCTTATAGGGTTCAGGGCGAGTGATCAGAACCCATGTCCAGAGTATCTCCGGTGTTGAGAATTTAGCGCAGTATAGGTGACAGAAACACCTCTCCTCTGAGTTAGATAGGATGAGCTCTATGAAGACAAGCTGGTCCGTTTGGGATTCAAATTTAAGGGGTTAGGCTTGTGCGATTTGAGTAGTGGCTCTTCTTGGTGCTAGTACGTCTTCCATGAGTCGACGGTCGATAGCTGACTTGGATGCGATTGCAGTGCACTTTTGGCTTTTGGTGCTCTGAGTGGCAGTTGCGTAACACTGCTGAGACTGGCTGAGAGGTGCCGATGGACCACGAGCATCAATCCGATCATCGACACTACTGTCACCACTGTTTGCTATTGACTAAGTAGACTGTTTATACTTGCCGTGACTATTGTCTGCTCATTTTGCACATTTTGAGTGTTGATCCGCTCTATGACATAGATGATCAATAAGTTACACTTCTTCCCTGTTAATGACCACAAAGGCTCCTGCCTTCTTCCTGAAGTAGCTTTTTTGCCGCTGCAAACTTGCGTAGGGACGTTTAAGGACAACCTGAGAGGTGAGGGCCTTGCCCGCCACCTTCTGCACTCCGCAGGGTTTAGGGTTTAGGGTTTAGGGTTTAGGGTTCAGGGTTCAGGGTTTACCTGAACCCCCCAACTACCCTTTAACAAAGGGGGTTCATATACGCTACTAATATGGGGTGCTGGTAGGATTTAGGGTTTAGGGTTTAGGGCTTAGGGTTTAGGGTTAGGGTTTAGGGTTTAGGGTTTAGGGTTTAGGGTTTAGGGTTTAGGGTTTAGGGTTTAGGGTTTAGGGTTTAGGGTTTAGGGTTTAGGGTTTAGGGTTTAGGGTTTAGGGTTTAGGGTTTAGGGTTTAGGGTTTAGGGTTAGGTTTAGGGTTTAGGGTTTAGGGTTTAGGGTTTAGGGTTTAGGGTTTAGGGTTTAGGGTTTAGGGTTTAGGGTTTAGGGTTTAGGGTTTAGGGTTTAGGGTTTAGGGTTTAGGGTTTAGGGTTTAGGCTCCAGCCTCCTCTGATATTAACAGGTCCTGACGAACTACGCCCATCTGCTCACATCCGGCGACAGCTGCTGGGGCGCCAGGCTGCTGGCGCACCTCTTCACTGCCCGAAGGCTCTTAGGGTTTAGGGTTTGGGGTTTAGGGTGTGGGTGTAGGGTGTAAGGTTTAGGGTATAGGGTGTAGGGTTTAGGGTTTAGGGTTTAGGGTTTAGGGTGTAGGGTGTAGGGTTTAGGGTATAGGGTTTAGGGATGAGGGCTTAGGATCGGGAAGTGGAGATGTTCGGCTCACAGGAATGGATACCGGACCAACACGATCTGCAGTCGCTGCTGCTGTTGTGACATGAGCGCTTCCCTATTAGTTGTCATCTGAGAGAGTCCAGTTTGAACTAAACAGTGCTTGCCGTTTGCGGGTGGGGTTGGAGGATTTCTGTAAGTGGCCGAGGCCTCTCAGGGTTTAATGGTTTCCAGGGGAAGAAGGGGGGTGTTGAGCCTGAACCCTAAGCCCCAAATCATTGGGCCCTGGGTGCGTGGAATGGCGCGTGAAGTTTGCGGAGTGCTGTCCCTTGTAGTAGCTGGGATGTGCTTCAGGGTTTCAGGGTTTGGCATGGGGCTTTCGGGGTCGGACTAAACTCGTAAATGCTCTTGAAGCCCACTTGGAGGTTCGCGGCTAAAGTTAGGTTACAAGTATCCTGTACAAGGTTATAGTCATCGTTCCCCTACCTAGAACCCTACTCAAAGGTTCCCTAAACCCTAAACCCTAAACCCTAAACCCTAAACCCTAAACCCTAAACCCTAAACCCTAAACCCTAAACCCTAAACCCTAAACCCTCCAAGTATTCTCAAGCCCGAAGCCTCTGCAAGTGCGACCCCAGAACGCTGGGGCAGGCGCCAAACAAGGCGCCCTAAACCTCACTGGGTTTCGGGTTTGGGGTTTAGGGTTTAGGGGTTTAGGGGTTTAGGGGTTTAGGGGTTTAGGGGTTTAGGGGTTTAGGGGTTTAGGGGTTTAGGGGTTTAGGGGTTTAGGGGTTTAGGGGTTTAGGGGTTTAGGGGTGTAGGGGTGTAGGGGTGTAGGGGTGTAGGGGTGTAGGGGTGTAGGGGTGTTTAGGGTTTTAGGGGTTTAGGGGTTTAGGGGTTTAGGGGTTTAGGGGTTTAGGAATTAGGGATTAGGGCTGCTGCACCCGGGTCTTTAATCAACAGGAATTGTTCGCGGTTGACCTTTTGACGCTAACCCCCCCCCCCCCCCACCCCCCTGCTGGTAAAACAGAACAATACAATCTATGTACCAGGACCCAGAGTCCTTTGTTTTAGGGTCCCGTACAAGCCCCTTTAACCACCAAAAAGGGCACCCTTTTTCTTCCTCCTAGGTTACTCTTGGGTCTAGTATACTAGTAATTGCTTAACAACCCCCCCCCCCCCCCAACAAAAAAAAAAATGGAACATATTCCTCCTTATGAGGGTAATATAGGGATTATTATTTCTGAATTCTTTTGGGGTTCTGAAGCAAAAAGTAGAATAGAATGGGCCAATGCGGGTGGGCTCTGGAAAGGCTGATCGACCTGCTGCCTGACTATGGCGAGCAGCACGTAGCCTGGTGAGGAAAAGGTGTTTGCGCGTTAGGTCTTCAGAAGGCTTAGGGTTTAGGGTTAGGGTGTGGCTTTAGGTTTTCAGAAGGTGTATCCCGAGAGCTTTCAACAATGCCATGGTTTCTCATCAAGACGCCTGCACTGACCCTCATTTAAACTCCCCGCCTCCCAACAAAAAAAACTCCCAAAGCCCTGAACCTGAACCCATCGTAAACCTTGTTGAGCCCGCCGTGGCAGGCCAAGCAACAATCTTCTAACACCCCAGAATACATGCGCACACGTGTAAGTATAGACTTCAAGCACTGTTCCGCTTCATTGCATGTGCTGATGCTGCTTACTTGCTTGGGCTAGGAAGAAAATGGCCTGGCGGTGTAAGAGTTTAGGGCAAAAAAGGCTTTGGGCTTGCGAGCATTCCACGGGTAGTGGGTGCACAGTGCTTCTTTGCGCCCAAAGATGAGTCTTCAGTCAGTCTTCCGGTCAACCTGGGTGCCATGTTCATCTTCGTGTGTCGTCTTCGCGTGTTTGCCGCCTGCCACTGCCTTAGCCCACCCTACTACCCAGATGGGGCAGCAAGCGGATGTGTGCTACCAGATGCCATCGGATTGTTCGGGTTTTCGGCTGTCTAAAAGACATGGCGACAAAGGTTTTTGTTCACCTGTTCACGCAGCTCATGTTCTCGCGTGCCTTTGTTTACGTGGCACTGTGTGTGTGTGTGCGCGCGGGGTAGTACACTTGACATCAAAGTTCGGACTACATGCGCGCACATTCACATACAGAATGGGAGAGGTGCAAACCTGTCCGTACTTTCCTTCTGACACCATCAGACACTTTTCGAAGGTAGCCTAAGGAGAGGCACTGTGCATCAGTTGTGATTACAAGCCTAAACCCTAAACCCTAAACCCTAAACCCTAAACCCGAAACCCTAAAGCCTGTCTCTGTCAAGGTGACGGAGGCCCATTTCCTCTTGGAGAAGCTCCAGACGCAGCTTGGCTGAGCAGTAAAGTGTTTAGGGTTTAGGGTTTAGGGTTTAGGGTTTAGGGTTTAGGGTTTAGGGTTCAGGGTTTAGGGTTTAGGGTTTAATTAGGGCAAAAGTGGTCGCCGGTTAAGGAGCTGAGGAACTCGTATCGCTGTGAACAAAGAGGGAATGGGGTTTAGGGTTTAGGGTTTAGGGTTTGGGGTTTGGGGTTTAGGGTTTGG